AATTCGAGATCGGTTTCGACAGTGTGGCACTGGCCGCTCACCGGTCACTTGCTGACACCCTCGTGGGTCGGGCAGCTTAAGATCCGTTTGTGAGTTGCGGCCGGGACATCCTCCAGCGCAGTGTAGTTGGCTGCACTTCGCCTGCCCAAGTTAGCTAAGATCTGACATCGACGCTTACAAACGCCCAAAAACGGCACCATCCATGATTTGTGTACGAAAGCGCGTGGCCTTGTGCACACATCGACTCACACCTTTGCCTGTACGATTTTTTTTCTTCTAATATGTTAATCTCGCGTCGCTGCGCGGCGGCGGTGCCACGAACTTTGCGCTGGGCAGCAGCGATGATTTTCCAGGGTGGGGGGTGGGGGGGAGGGCGCATTCCGGACAAATTTGACCCTCTTCACAAGAGAACCTAGTGGGCAGTGTCATATCTAGGGAGAGGGGCACCGAGCGCATGTGCCCTCTTACCAAATCATTACATGTGTCTCAACCGAATAATATCGAGAATGAAGCCTTCTGATCATCCAACCAAGTCTCTCGTCTTCCACGAGGTGTGTCGTGTGTTGTTGGGTCGACTGTGCTGGGCTGAATCAGGGCTGGCCGTGCACATTTAGATTATGAACGCGACTCATCATAATCTGTTTGTTTCACCCTGTCTCCTTGACAGCCTGCATCAATGACGACCTTATCTCAGACAGCTTCGTAAAGAAACTTTGGTCTCTAGCTCGGACCCGCATCCAAATACCTCGACATAATGGACCCGGGCCGTCATCTAAGGTCAAGACTTCTAGCTCGGACTCACCAGCCGTAAAACTGAATGGATCCGAACTATAGCTCAGGGTCCCAGGACTGGGGACTTGAGCTCGAAGCGGAAGCAGTAGACTTTGACTCAGACTTAAGAGATCAGGACTGGGAACGTAACCCTGTTTCTTTCGCACTGGAACTGTGCTTGCATCACGGGTCATTCTACGGGTGGAATGATATGGGCATTGTAACGATCAGCACGGTTTGAAATTGATATCTGTTAGCACTGAGCAAGTCCACCGTGGACGATGAGCAACGAATATTTAAGGTACCGCAACATGCACCATGTAAGCGAGACATGTACAGCTTCATGAGCGCCCACTTCGGTGCGAGGCAAATGTATGTGGAGCTCGCGGACGTGTTGACAGGTCTCTGCCACCAGACCATACATACAGACGCCACAACAGCCTGCGGGCTGGACTTCACAACGGTCGGGGGGGGGGGGGGGGGGTCATGCGGTGACACGGCACACGGTCCAACATCGCAGGGCCACGGAGCCACCTCACCTGGCACACCGGCGCGCGCGCGCGGCCCGACGCTACTGCGGCTGGCCGCCGGCCGGCCGCTCCGCCTCCTGAACCGGCGGCGAGCCCGAGCGCCTGGGCGTGCTGCAGGCCGACACGGCCGCATCGTCCCGCGGTGAGCTGAAACACGCACCCCTCCATCACGTCTGGAACACCTGCCGACGCTTATACCGACTCTGAAGAGGCGGGCCCAGTCGCAAGGTGGTTCGCCGACACTTAGAGGGGCGACTACTCAAAGTACACACATTTAGTTTTTTTTCCTCCAGCGATCATTTCTGCTGGAATGAAGCCGAAATACCACGCCAAGTAAGGCAACTAATACCACCTCCAGCCCCCCTCCCAACTCCCCTATCTTGGCCCAACACCCAAGGTCGTCGAGAACTCACATAGGAGAGTCGGAGTCGGCGAGGAGGGCGGCGGCCGCTTCCAAGGTGTGGCAGGGCCGCGACGCCTCGCCAGACGGGTCGTGACCGTTGGCCGCTGCCTCGGGCGTGCCGACAACCGCCGGAGGCAGGTCAGACGGCAGCGCGGCGTCGAACGCCTCGCTCGGCGGCGTCCGGTGCTCGTCCTCCAGAGCCGAGTCGAACGTGGTGTCGGGCGACGGCTCGGACGCCGACTCCATGGGCTCCGAGTCGGGGCCGTCGCCGCCGCTGGTCCACGCCTCGCCGGCGGAGGTGTCCGAAGCCAGGAGGTCGGGCTCAGTCGGATCGCGACAGCTATTCTCAGCCAGCAGGCGAGACGGCGCCAGGTCGCTGTCCTCGCCGCCGTACGGACTGTGCACGTACGCCCGGTTGAGTAGGTCGATCGGGCCGCCTTGCGGCAGGCAGCAGCCGCCGCTGGTCGGCGACAGCGGAGCGTCACCTGAGACGCTCTCCTGGACTGAGACCAAACTATCTTCATGCACGGGGGAGACCTGCCCGGCGTCTGACGGACAGTTTGGAACGAGGCTCTGGAGATAACCATCACCGCTGGTGACACACACAACCGTGTCCATCAGACCGTCCTCCTGGACAGAAGCAAGGTGATCAGGGTTTCCGTCGATCAGAGATGTCTGTCCGTACGTCACATACGCTTCACCGACGTTAACTGGCCACGGCTGCATGTCCCGTGAAGTGGTATCCGCACTTAAGCGCGTTGTGCTCCTATTGGCTCCGCTTTGTTGTTCGTTCATATTAGCCGCTTCTGCTTGTAAGGGTGCCTGGCCCTTTGCCAGGCATGCGCCATCCGTCGCAGACGGTGGATCACCTGCAGAGGTGTCCCGACCAGTCAACAGTCGCTCGGCTGTCGAAGCCTGTGGTTCACTTGTCGCGTCAGCAAGGCCGGATATCCAGGAAGTGACCCCCTGGGCATGGGCATCACCCGATAGGATATTTCCAGCAAGACTGTGGTCTTCCATCACCGGCGCGTGACCAGCCAGAGCATTTCGCTGTTCAACCAACGGGTCTCGAGCTTCTCCAACACCTGGCTGAGAGGCTGCTGACATCAGATTAGTCGGGCCAATCAATGGTGTCGCCATGTCTTCTCTCCCGACAGAGGCGCGGATCTCCGGAAGGTCTCGGTCGTCACTGGCACGGGAGAGGCAAGGACCGGCGCCGCTGCCCCGCCCAGCAGCGGGAAGGTCTTGGTCGCCACTGCCACGGACGAAGAAGGGACCGGCGTCGCTGCCCCGCCCGGGGGCGGGAAGGTCGCCAGCCCCATTCGTCTCCGGTACGCAGCCTTCGACCAGGCTGATCGACTCGCCAGAGGCCAGCGATGGGTTCAGGCTGTCCCCAAACGTGGAAGTCGTCGATACAGCGTCCACGTCTGCGTTGTCGGTGGTCTCGAAGACCACCTCGTCCGACATCGACAAACACACCACACCGACCGCTCCGCCCTCAGCCCCACAGCTGCTTTCAGGTCTGTCGACGCCGAACAGATGGATCCCCATCTGGTGCAGCGTCGGGTCTGGCAGCACGATGTCCATGTCCTGCAGGCTGTGGGAGACGTCCTCAGAAAGCTGTTGCCGTATGGCAGCCGCCGACAGCGGTCGCAGGTCGACCTCGGCCCCTTCGTCCGGCAGGCAGTCATTCAGTCGATCCTCTTCAATGTCATCTGCTCCGCGCATCGCCTGCTCCATCGCATGCTTGATGCCTGTGACGCGTCGCTCCATCAGCAGTTCTGCATCACGAAGCAGCAGGTTAGCGGTGCGATGGTGACGCGGGGAGGGTCTGTGGAAGGCTTCTTTCTCTTTTGTAAGGTCTGAACATCCTCGTCATCATCATGCACGTGAGAGTTATGTGGGTGCTGTTCCATTTCAGATTGTTGGGTCGTCGGTGCCTGCAGATGACTTAAATCTGTAATTGTACTGCAGATCACTAATTCTTCTGGATCCATAGACGTGGTTTCAACATCTTCGTTATCTTCGTCATCATCAGCGTACTCACCCGAGTCACTTGAATCGACCTCTTCTTTTACGCTTTGACTAACTGGTGCCTCCGCATGCTCAATAGGTTGATACGGGGCATCCCTGGAGTTGGTAGAACTGTCACCTGATGTAATTACTGCGACCTCATGCTCCAAAAGGATAGGGCCCAGCTCGGTTGGATCGCTCTTCTCTGGTGGGTCAGCTTCCTCTAGTCCCATTGGCTGCTCAGAGAGTGAAGGGTTCGCGGTAGGGCCCACGTGATCTTCCTGTCGCAACGGTTGGTGGGCAGGACCTCGCTCTACAGTGTCAGGTATGGCTAGATAACCACTAGCGCAGCCCACAGGAGCTGATGACAGCACATACTCCGGTCCAACGTGACTTTCTTCAACGGGGGCCGTTATGACAATCTGAGGGCATGCAATCTGAGCCGCTTCGTCAGGCCCCGAGCCCTGCTTCGGTGGATCCTCTTCGACCTCGCTTGCACTGGCCGAAATGTCGGTAACATCACTTTGTACTGTCGGCGGGTTCAAAGAACGGTCACTATTGCTGTTGTCATGTTCTTTCCGTCTCTCACACGTAAATATTCTTGTGCCGGAGGAAGACACTTCGGTAAGCTGATCATTGCTACCACGATTTGCAGCTTGCAGGTCACTGCCCATAACTATTTGGGCAGTGTGGTCACCGTCGCCGTCGTCATCCAAATTTTGTTCCAAGTCTTGGACGCCATTCTTGCTGGGATCACTTTCATGTGAAAAACAAACCTCTTCAATGAGGGCAGTTCCAGCGGCGTCGACCGCCTGGCCCGTCACGCCAAAGCGCACGTTCTTCGACTCCGAAATCTCCAACGGCGTCGGCTCGTCCTCGAGCGGATTCCAATGGCCACGCGCGTCCAGAGATGATGCAAAGATGGAGCGGGCCTGTGGTTCCAGAGCATCGCCTGCATGCCGCTCGGAGGAGTTTGCATCGTTTCCCGCCTTCAGATAGGTCAGGTCGATCAGCTCCACCTCGGGACTCTTTCCCGTTTTTGTTTCTGGTTGGTAAATCCAGACGTTCCGCATTTCCTTCGGTTTCAGGTGGGACTTCATGATTCATCTTCATCTCCAGATTCAAGAGGAGGCATATCTTCATATCCAGCTTCGCTGCCAACCACGTCCTGGGCTTCAACATCATGGACGGTACGCTCTTCGTTGATTTCCTTTTCAGGCCTGTGCTTCCAACTTGCTGCCGACAATAGCCGTTCCAGCGTCTTCTTCACCAGCAGCCTTTGCCTTTTTGTCAGCGTCCGCAAATAGTCTGATGCGCGTCTTCAGCGAAGCGATCGAATTCACGCTGTCCTCGATTCGTTTCCTTTCCATTTGGATTCCAGCGGTCACGCTCCGCCCGCTCCTCCTCACGGCCTCCACGGGCCCAAGCCTCAGCACACGCGCGGTCCTTTGGAAACACTGGCCGCTCGTCTAGATACGTCAACCTCTTCACGCGGACGGTCATGATCCTGCGGTAGTCCTGGATAGTTCTCAGGGCCGGGTTTCCCATCAGATAAACTACACGAAGTTCCTTCATCTCTTCAAAGACGTCGACGATTGAGCTGTCGTAGAGCCGATTGTGTGACAAGTCCACGACAGACAGTGAGCAGCAGGCTCACCAGATGGCGGATGTCCTCCGTTTCCGTCAGGTGATTGTGGGAGATCTGCAAGTTGGTCAGCTTTGGCAGGCAGCCAAGGCCGCTGATTTGGGAAATGAAGTTGTGGACTTCAAATTCAAGGTGTCCAGATTAATCAAGCGATCCAAATTCTCTATCTTCTTGAGCAGGTTGTGGTGGAGAAACAGAGACCGCAGTTCAGTGTTGTTCTCCAGGTTTTCAATGCGGCTGATGCCGTTGTTCTCAAGCCATAAACAACGCAGCCCAGTGTACTCCTCAATATTTTCTATTTTGGTAAACCCTTTGAAGTGCAGGTACAGAACATCGTTCAAGTATGGAGTACTGTACAACTTCATGTCCCTGCAGATTTTCTTTAAGCTTTCCTTGGTCATTCGCGGCCACTTGGCGGAGTCTTTCGCTGGGCTCAGCTCTGACGGGTTACCTTTGTTTTCTTCATCTCCACGCTGACTGTCGGAACCAGCATCCGCTTCCTGAGGCAGGCCACCCTCTTTCTCACTGTAAGTGATGTCCAGACTACTCTCTTCATCCTTTTCGTTGTCAGGGCAAGGTGTGTGTTCCAGCTCCCCACATGTTGGGACCGTTTCCGAGACAATCGGCTCCGGCATGACTCAGGGACTAACCCTTCTTTGTAATTCGAGTTATGCAGAGAACAACATAAAATATTTGGACCTGTGAAACACGATGCCGGTCAAACTACCACGATACTGAACTTTTCGGGTGTGACAGTCGAGACCCAGTTCGATACCGGATGCAAATAAATCATCCCGAGCCGGTCTTATTCAACCGGCTGCTTGGGCACCTGACAAACGACCATCATGCTATGTGCTCGTCCATAAAGTATGAAGTGTATCATATCCCAGTACATAAATGTTGACAGTCAAAACGCCTTGAGTGGGTCCTTCTGATCGTCTTCAAATGACCTCGCTATCCCAAAACAGGGCCACTTATTACATAAAAGAGCCTCCTGATGTAGAGAGGGGCTTCCTCATCCCGAACGGAATGCTTCCAGGGCCTGCAAATCAGGCCATCAAGCCTGGTTATCTCTAAACGGGACATCTTGATCCGAAGCTATGGCCATCGGACGCGTGAAACAGGTCTCCTTTTCCAGAATTGGGACCTGCTGAATATTGAGGGCGCCTCCTAACCAAGTAAATGACCCTCCTAGCTGTAGTCGGGAATTCTCGAGCCAGCAAAGGGGCCCCCTCAACACAACATTGGGCCCACCAATCTAAAGTATGGGCTACTTTATTCATAAAGCTGGTCTTATGATGCAAAAACAGCCCCTTGATACAGAAAACGTCTTGGGCCCGATTTAATATTTTAGCTCAGTTATGGGCCCATCTTAACCTGGATTTTGATATGGTACTCCCCCCTTATTTTCAGGGATCATGGCCTTGCCCCCCCCCCCCTTTCCACACAGGGACTTGCTCCCAAGCCGCGCCGCCCTGCACAGATGAAAACCTTACCTGCTTCAACATATGAGACTGACGCAGTTGCGAAAAATGTCTGGTGGAAGGGCGGAGTATGGGGAAGAGGAGCTTTCTCAGTGCGTGGAAAGTTTGCGAGAAGTCCATATTTTACCAGCCTCCTGGCTTTAACATGTCGCTGCACGGTTCTGCCCAGGCTTGGTGGGCTGCAGTGAGGTTTCCCGGTGTCCTGGGGGGGAGGGGGGGGGGGAGGGGGGAGGGGGGGAAGTGGGAGGGGGAGGGGGGGAGGGGGAGGGGAGGTTGCATGCAAGAGGATGCAGCCGCGCCGAATATTTCGGAAAAAATAACCCGAAGCGCCGAATGGATGAAAATATGACGCAAAACTGCACTCGGCCTCCCCAACTAGTGTGCTCTCGCCAATGACACTTACTCGTATTTCACGTCACCACCAACTTACTACCACTATCTTTGAAATAGCTGCCCTATGAATACTGGCCTTGCTTTCTACAGTAACCACCCGTGCAACGATCAACACCACATTTCCAACAGCCGGCCGCAAATCACCCAATCCAAATAGACGTGCGTCTCGAAGATGCGCTGTCGCCATGGTTACGAGAACATTTTGTTTGTGAAAAATCCAATTAAATAAATTTAATTTTAAATTACAGAATATTTAGCCATAAATTAAAATATTTAATCAAAATCAATAAGGTGCTCAGAGAGCAGCATTCAGATCCAGTTTCTAACCCAGCAATGTATTTACATTGCCTCGAAATTTGAAGCCTCTTGGGATTCCAAAAAGCAGCGTTTCTTGCGCTCCTGGGATATTCATAACGCAGCTAAGTCGCCAAGTCTCGGTTAGGATTTGAACACGTGATTATTCGTGAAAGGGATTTTTCTGATGGGTGGGACTGCAATGGGCTTATCTTATTGCTGGATATACTCAAGCTAATGTGTCGTGAGTGATTTGTGAGGACAGCCGAAGTCGACGTGGGTTATTAAGGTAAGCTCTACGTGCCTTTGAGCTTGTGAATGGTTAACATTATAGAAATGGGAACAACCCTATTTGTCCAATCTTAAAGTGAACAAAATATTGGCAAGCACCTACCTTCCTGGTGAATTCTCACAGCCATCACACACACCAGGCTGTCAGGTATGTGATCTAGCAGCAATTCCCAAGCCTGTGAACCCTGATATGCATATGACAGTGATCCAGTGAGTGATCCAGAGATGTAATGCTGCCAGCCCCCCTGTGGGTAAGGTGGTCAACACGCAATTCCTCTGAGAGCGTGGTCTTTTAAGGAAAACATGGCAAGACTGGAATCTAACATAATATAGCCTAACATAGCTTAACCTAATCTTATCTTATTTGATCTAGCCTAACCTCACCTAACCTAAAACTGATGTCCCATTACAGTCTGCGCTATCAGTGCTTCAGACTGATGTTTGAATGATACATGCTGTTGTCATGATTATTATATTTTGATGGTAAGATGTCCATATAGTATTCCTGTTTTGTGATTACTTAAAGTGGCTGATGTCTCAAGAGTGTCATTTAGTGGACAGTTAAATGGTGCAGCAGAAGTTACCCATGTGGACTATAGCCCAAGATCCTGTGATAAGTGAGACGAAACCAACTGTCTTTGCTGTATTCAGAGCCATGTTTGTCATGACATGAGCATATATGATGGCATCCATCAAAGCACGACTGTTTGAGAGGCACAAAATGTTGGACTCCCCATCATGTTTGCCTACTGATTCTACCTACCCACCTGTGTACCCATCAATCAGCATTTAGCTGAAATTCTGGTGAATAAACCAGCCATGAGTTATAATGTACTTTTTTTGGGCATGATTTGCAACCACACCCGACCATAGTGTTTTACTGTGCAACCTTATCCCCTCTCCCTTTATTATACATTAGTTGTGCTGCATCAAGACACTTTCTTCTCCATGTTGTGGCTTAGTGAATGAATGACCCAACAACATCAAGTTAATGCATGAGCCCAAAACAGTTAGTTAATGAATTACCTTGATATACTGTCACTGCTAACTGCTGTTTAATTGGGACAAAAACATTCAATATATGGCTTACCCAGGCTGTTCCATTGCATGTAGCATTATTGCTGTCAAATTATGGCATGTGACATTACCTCTATAGGTTTGTTGATTATTTCAGAGATATATGCATTTTAAAATAAAAGTCAGTACCATGTTCTCTCCTGGTGGAAGTGTAGTTATTAGAGATTAAGTGCAGAATAAATGAAACTCAGCTCTCCCACTCAAAGTCTGAAGCATTGTATGCACAAGCTGTGCCGGGGGACAGCAGAGGCAACCTTCTTATCCTTTCCCAAAACATTCAACAATTAACACCAACTGTTTTGTATGGTATGGAAGTAAAGAATGTATATATCTGCTGTCCATTGTGCACCTATGAACAAGTGAAACTTTGTCACTTGTCAAACTTTGTCTCACTTTGTCATTGTTCTATCTGCCATTCCATGTATCCACAGATAAAAAGCATTAGGAAGTTCCTGCTTCAATTGCTTTGATGCAACCATCTTCTGGCAGCAGTTTGCACTCATGTTAGCAGGACACAGGTACAAGCATTCACAACCCCTGCTAAGAACCCCTGTCAATGGAAACTCCTAAACCCCTGTCAATGGAAACTACACTGCCAAATTAGCATCATGCAGGATTGTGGTGCTTATTATTTTGTGTAAAATGGAGTGGATGTGTCACATTAGCTTTGGGATAGAGTTCTTGCTTTAGGCTGTTGTTTAATTGGTAAATTGTAAATCACTTTTGTGACTTTTCTATCACCTGTCTGGTGACAACCTATAAACAAGTAAAACTTTGTTACTTGTCAAAATTTGTCATACTTTGTCACCTTTCTATCTGCCTTCTGCCTAGCCACAGGTAAAAAGCATTAGGAGGCTCCTGTTCCAAGGGCTTTGACACAACCATCTGCTGGTAGTAGTTTGCTTCCATGTTAGCAAACACAGGCACAAGTCCTGACAACTCCAGCATGGAACGTTGATGGAAACTACACTACCAAATTAGCATCATGCAGGATTGTGGTGCTTAGTATGTTGTGTAAACTGGAATGGATGTTACACATCAATAGCTTTTGGATAGAATCCATGCTTTTGTATGGTTGTTGTTCAATTGATAGATTGGCTTAATTTAATTGTGTGAACTTTTTGCTAATTTCACATCAGTTGCTTCGGTGTTGGTGTCCTTGCAAAGCCAAGCACCGCAAGGTCTTGTACTGCTTGAGGGACGAACGTGAATCAGGTCTAAAACATTGCCAAATCGGTTTTATTTTTTATTCGCCCGTTTGTTATGTATAGGTGTGTCAACGGGCAAGTCAGGAAACTCGATTTAGAGTATCATGTAAGGTAATAAATGACATGTAAAAAACATGTGACATAACATACTGAGGCTTTCAACTGCACACTGATGCCACCAGTAAGCAAAGCTTGCACAATGGCGGACTATCTTTTGACGTGATTCTCTTTGACATTTTCGAATTTCGCTCTCATCTCTGTCGGCTTAGGTTTATTTGGACTTTTCGTCTTTTGAATGCCTTCCATTTTAAACTTCGCCGCCACTGAATTTTATGTCTGGCAAGCGATTCGCTGACTTCCCAGTTCAACTTGAAGTTTCCAATTTTTTTTACATGAATTTTTCAAAATCTTGAACATCTTGAAGATCATTCGATGCAGTCACTGCCCAGTCCTTATGACCTTAATCTCTAGTCTGAGTTACACGTGCGCGAAAATATGCGTAAAGGGAATTTTTCACATTTGAAGATATTGGAGCAAGCGTCAGATATGATGAAACAAACTTACTTATGACTATTGGTGTAATTTTCAAGTGCAAATTACTCTGGACAGCAGAATTGTCTGTTTAGTTAATATATTCCTTAATTCGCCATGGTTTCATTACGTCATTGCACCTTGCACAACATTGATTGAGAGTCAACTGATGACCGTTATATCTGGAAATTGTGCTCACGAACTCCAGATATGAACGCTTGGACAATTGCATTCTCCTTGGCCTTGATTGCTGCATGGTTTAGGGAGTGGTAGGATTTGAATGACGTTATTATGACGTCATGAACACCAAGGTAACTTTGAAATATTCTTCTCAAAATACTTCCCATTTTCGCGGGCGCATAGCTCAGAAATTATAGAGGCTTATGCCTTAAGAAGGGCAGGGTTGTGAACAGCACCGAGAAGTCTTCAAGATGGCTGTTTCAGTTCAAAACCCCTGATAAATGTGAAACACTCTTTAAGCCACAGCTCAGATGACCATTGTATACAGTTTGCATGTGGGCGAAAAGGCTGTTAATCGCGACGCTACTGTCTTTTAATTCATGATTCCATCCGTCTTGAGTTGTCTCTCTGGACTAGCGGGGGAGTGTCCCACTCCTGCCGTCGGTATCGCCACGGGCTGGGTCGGCGGGCCGGTGGGGCCTGGGTAGCGTGCGGGCCGGCAGGCCGTAAGTGCCGCGTCGGTGCACCCGGCTGTGATCATTTCCGCACCTCGCTATTGTATAGCGAGTTCCCACTTTTCTGTTGATAGTTTCCAATGAGCACTTGAACAGTGATTTCAAGAATCGAGGCCCTTAAGGAGTGGAGGGTTCATCAAATTTAGACATGCTGCTTTGGTGGTGGAAAACATATTAAAGGGAGCGTTACACATTTACATGGGGTTTTGGGCTGAAATAGCCACTTTGAAGACCTTTCGGTGTTGTTCACAATCCTGCTCTTCTCGAAATGGGGAGCTGTATATCGGGGAGAGTATCTAAAATTCGCCTTGGCATTCATGACGTCATAGTAACGTCATTCAAATCCTCATGAGCCATGCGACGATCAAGGTCAAAATTAAAATTTTCAAGGCGTCAATATCTGGTGTTTGTGGGCGCGATTTCCAGATATAACGGCCGTCAATTGGCTCCCAATCGGTGTTATGCTAGGTACGAAGACGTAATCAACCATGACACATTGAGGAGTATCTTTACTAAACAGAGAATTCTGCCGTCTAGAGCAGTCCTTTCCACTTAGAAAGTTTATCGATAGTAATAAGTGAGCTTGTTTCATCAGATCTGATACTTGCTTTAATATCTTCACATCCCCTTAACCCAGTGGTTCTGACAAAGAACTCAAGTGTCTTTATTTGACTATGGAGTATTGTATTGTTTACATACATCGCTTTTAAATGAAACAGCGTGTTTTGGTTGCGGGGTTGTGCACTTCGCATATTTCTGTCATTTTGCCATTTTCGAACGCTGCCACCGGCGGAAAAAGGCTGCGTGCAGTGGTTACCAAAAGCATAAGCATCGTCTCAGCACGAGACTTACTAAGAATACCAAGCTTTTTCCATATCGAAGATGGTGTTATGTAATATGGTACTTATATTGGTTGAGCTGGTGTAAAATGAGCATGAATATATATATATATATATATATATATATATATATATTCATGGATATCAGTCATGCTGTGTTTGGTCAATGTAGGCCCAATGTCATTCTTTCCATGCCGACAAAGTAGTCACCCGGTAGGCCTTTGGATTGAATTGTCGCTATCATAAATCGTTTGAGGTCATTGGTGCAATTAATGTAAGATTTTTCAGGGTCTGATATATTTTTTCTTGTGTACGGGCGTTTTTTCAGCTGCCGGAGCTTTGGTTGGTCACATTTATCTGGTCGTTTTGCTGCTCGGTGATATGCTTCGCCAGAAAATGCGAAAAAAGGAGTTCACCCCCGGGGACTCGAACCCGGATCTCTGGAATGTCGACCAATCATGCTAACCACTGCTCTCGCAAGTTGGCATAGCGACGAGACTGGCGTCGTATATCCGCGGGGTGGTGTGAACGGTGAATGTCTTTTGTCCGATGCCGGGCTAGCGATGGTTAGGAAAGCAGCCTGGAGACCGGTATTTTCCTGGGCAGGCTCTTGTGACATGCTCAGTAATTGTGAGTATGGCAATCGTGTGTGGTCTACGGATATGTGCTGTCGATCAGCACATGCAGCTTGGAAGGCCGTTATGACTGCCAGACGCGTTGAAAATCGGGTGCTTTTTGAAGATTTCTGTTAGGAAATTCAGTCTGATGTCTGCGTAAGTGCAGCGCCTGTGACGTTATGCATCTACGCTTCTTAGACCCAGGGAGGTATTGCGAGCCTTGTGAGCAAAGAACGGTACTCGCAATGACGATGATCATGAAGCATTGCAGTGTTCGCAATGTTTTATGTGAGATTGGTTCAGTTTAGTTCAGTTCAGTTCAGTTCAGTTCAGTTCAGTTCAGTTCAGTTCAGTTCAGTTCAGTTTCGTTTCGTTTAGTGTAGTTTAGTTTAGTTCAGTTCAGTTCAGTTCGGACTAATGTAGTCTATCAGGTTTGGTCAGGTCGGTTGTGGTGAAACTGTTTATCGTCCGATCGCCCACCATCAGATTTGTAACCGTCGCTGCCAAGCAGTCACCCGAGTCACATTGTCCACGGCCCGGCAGGTGATCGCAATCGCCAGATGAACAATGGCCCGGTCCGCAATCGTCAGATGTACTTTGGTCCGGTCCGCAATCGGTCAGATGAACAATTATCCGGTCCGCAATCGTCAGATGAACAATGGCCCGGTCCGCAATCGTCAGATGTTCTGTGGTGCGGTCTGCAATCGTCTAATAAACAATGGTCTGGTCCGCTGACGATTACGGCGCCTGACTCCAGTGCCAGCACGCGTCAGGCATGTGTCGGAACCCCATCAGAGGCGTTCGTGAATGGCTGTTGTTGAGCTGACGGCACGGTTCCGTGCGCGGGCGGCCCACGCTCTCGTGCCGCCTGCCCGCGCGCCCGCGTGTCCGCGTGCCCGCTCGCCCGCCCGCGTCCCCGCCACTGGCGGAGCTGCGAAGAGTGATGCTCAGCAGCGGATGGTGGCTGGCGAGCGCGCTCAAGCGCCGCGGACCGTGCACTCTATCTGGGTCAGTGTGAGAGATCTCGACTGAGGCGTTCCGTGGGAACTAGAGGCGAGAATTGGCGGCAGTTTAGTATTCGAACCGCCGCGCAGTGATTCGTACTCGGATTAGGAGGTTCGAGATACCATTATTTCTGAATCTTTGCTGCGAGATCTGGAACTAATGCGATATAATAAATAGCGAGGTGGGCGAAAAGTCCGACACAGAACTGACCTAGGCGTGCCATACATAATACCTTTTTCCGATGGAAATTTGAACCCATAATGTATTCCACCGCGTATTTAAATGAGTATTTTCAGGACTGGCTGGTTCTCAGGATTTGAGTCCTTGCTGTCATGTTTCAAATCTTCGTACTTGGGATTCGAGGATTCCAAAAATTCGAGTCAACTCGAATCAATTCGAATCCCGCGAATCCGAATTCTCAGCCCTGGCCGGAACCCGAGGTAGTATACTCGCGGCCAATCTAGCGCCGTCCGTGCCCGCCTGGTTACCTTTTATTTGCGCTGGAGTCATTCCCACCTGTCACAAGCGTCCGGGAAAGACCAGCAGCCGCGGGATCAGCGGTCCATGCGGCTCCAGCCGGCCCAGCAGCCCGTGCCGGCGGCGGTCACGTGCCAGCGCTGCCGCCGAGCGCCGACCAGCAGCCGCAGGCACCGCCGGCCTCCACCCCGGGCGGTGCCGACGGCCAGACGTGACTCCCTCCACCACGCTGGTCAGCCCGCGAGCTGCAGCCGCCTCTGCTGTCGCTCCCAGCTCCAGATGGTGGTACCTCTGCCCGCCCGCTGTGTTGGGTCCGTCTATCGCAGCACCCGCTTATTGCTGGGGCTGTGCGCTACCGGCTCACATCGGGTCATTGCATTTATGTGGAGTATATTCGAGCTGTGATGCTAGCGTTGAAATCAGTGCTCACAGAACCAGTCCAGCAACCTGAAAGAAAGTAGTTATGCCTATAGTTATAGTGTGTACTTCTGCAAATCATTTGCCTATCTGCCTAAACCGTTTTGCTGTTTTGTTTCGGGAAGTTTACAGTAGGCTTATTGAAAGACGAGGGATGGGCTCATCAGTGCTGCGGCTTGAGCTAAGTACAAAAGTACGCAGTGCATGGCAGCATCCTGTTTTGAACCCCGTAATGTCCGGCTTTCGGCGAGCACTTCATTCAGTCCGCTGCAATATCTGTGCAAAGTTTGGCCTTCAGTCAACGTTTCCGTATGGCTTCTAGTATGCTGCGCTGTGTTGGGAGGAACATCGCGACGCGCCATTTATGCCGGCACATTACAGCCAAGTTAGCCAACAGCTGTAGCCTTTCGTGCACAAGTGGCAGTACTTCCGTTGACCGGCGATAGTTGGGGATGGGCTGCTATCCCATCTCCACATAAACTTAGGCTTATTTAGTTACCATGGCTGCTATCGATGGGCTACAAAAGAGTAAACTTTTCCTCTCACTCGAGGAGTTATGAAACTGGGAAATGACCTTGGTAGACGTATTTTTCGAAGCACTTCATACGGTACACCCATGGCTTTGGTCTCAAATTCGAATACAATTTCGCAAACATTTCACAAGAGACACTGTGTTTTGGACAAACAACTACAGATGAGGTTAACGTGTAGTTTTGAAATTTATGTTTTATGGTGCATGGCATTTTATGGTGTTAAGTTTGTTGTGATGTATTGTTTTGGAGTTGTAATTTTATGATATTTTATGGCGCACGGCATGTTTGCCTAAACATAGTGGCCTTTGAGACAAAATTTTATTTTATTCTTATTTGAAACAGAAGCTAGAGCATATGGTATGATGCTCAGTAAGTTGCAGTTCGTCTGAGAGTGTCCGTGATTGATTAATGGAATACTTGAGATATTTTGCCTTGAGGTAACGATGCGTAAAAGTGAAGATACAGTAGTTGCACATGCACGTTTTACTCCAATAATTATTATTACACCTCCAGAGTAGGCGGTTGACCTTATCTATTGCATATGTAAATTTCGCGTCTTTGCAAAACAATGCAAAATTCGTTGTCGAGAAAAGTCGAAATGATTTGCTCAATCCAAATGTTAGTCCTATACCAAGAGCAAGCACTAGTGGTTGGGATGGACAACATTTCGTCATAACCCATCTTGAGAAACTTCATTTTGCGGCCTGATCGTTCTGTAACAGAGCTACACCCGGCGATCATGGGCCAGACACTAATTTGCCCTACTGCTGTGGCGGTGGCGCCGCCGCCCATGGTTGCCAATGTGATCGGTACTTGGTCGTACCGCACCGTCAGTCAACGGATGAAGTCTATATTGCGTACTGTCCTGGCTACATTCGCCCGCGAAGAACTTATGCTGATTGAGAAGATTGGTGCCTTTGGACGCGAGTCTTTGGACCTGGTACTGAAGGAATTAGAAATACTTTATGATGGGCTCACGAACAACCGATTTTTAACGCCTCTGACAGGAGAAGCGGGTGATGTCACTGACTGGAACCGAGTTTTTGAAGCGGCGCACGTAGACGGTGTGCCACCCTCCTGGCACGATGGTTCTTGGCTGTACGTGGAATGTTTTTTGTATAGAAAGCTCTACGACATCCTGGACACCAGCGGCGTCCTGCAAGATTACGACTATTTCCATGATCAGAAGGTGGAAAGCTTTGAAAATGCTGTTCAGGCCGCACACGAGCTCGCTACGGGCCTGCTGGCGGACTTGGAAGCTGCAAAGAAGCTGTCAACCTCCAAAATAAAGGCCATTTTTATCCAGCTGATGATGGTCTCGCTGTGGGGTAACAGGTACGACCTGACGCTTACGGGCGGTGTGAAGGTGTCGCAGGACAAGTCGCCGATGGAAGAGCTGCAGGAGCTGTCCAGCTACATCCTTGTCGACGAAACGTCGCGCATTTTCTCGTATCTGAACTCGCTGAAGCGCCAGAAGAAGAGGATTCGCGTCGACTTCGTGTCTGACAATGCCGGCTTCGAGTTGTTCGCCGACCTGTGCCTGGCCGACTTCCTGACGTCGGCGGGTCTGGCGCAGCGCATCACCTTCCACATCAAGGAGATCCCCTGGTTTGTCTCGGACACCACCCAGGTCGACATCGACTGGCTGATGGAGCGGCTGAAGACGGACGAGCAGGGCCCGTCGCTGCCGGAGCTGTCCGCCAGGTGGCGGAGGAACTTTCGCGCCGGCGCCTGGGAGGTGGCCACCTCGCCCTTCTGGACGTCTCCGCATCCGTTCTGTCGGATGAAGCAACTGTGCCACAACCTCTACTGGCGTCTGCAGGGCGCCAACCTGCTGCTGTTCAAGGGTGACCTCAACTACCGCAAGCTGCTGGCCAACCGGCCATGGCCTGTGAGCACCGCGTTCTGCCGCGCCCTCGACGGCTTCCACCCGGCGCCTCTGGTGGCGCTGCGGGTGCTCAAGGCTGACCTGGTTGTCGGCATGACCAATAAGACGGCTCGCGCCGCCGCCGAACGCGATGCTGACTGGATGACGTGCGGCGAGTTCGCTGTCATCCAGATGTGCCATCGGCGAAACCCGCTGGATGCGCTCTGATTGCGGGGGGGGGGGGGAGGGGGGCAATGGCAACGGAGAAGTTGCAAAGTAGGCTGTAGGCCCAGAAGTGGCTTAAACGCACCATTAGGTATACTCGGGCTGCTTCGTACGGTGAGTCCACCGAGTGCATTGACACGATGTAGTTATATTCTTTATTTTCCGAGCCTCTTAAGCGTCTTTTTCCACGTCTTCGTGTGCCTTTTGAATTGACATGTTTGCGCTGTGTTTGGTTTTGTAATGAATTATTTCAGCAATAAACTTTAGCTATTTTCTTTTCCAACGTCGGTTTTCTTAAAGGATATGTTTCACATATGAAGGTATTAAAGCCAACATCAGATATGATGAAACAAGCCCACTTTAACTATTGGTACACTTTTTAAGTGGAAAAGACTGTTCTAGACAGCACAGTTTTCTGTGTAGCAAATATGCCCGCTGATGCGTCATGGTTTGATTGCGTCATCGTAGCGTGCACAACATTGATTGAGAGCCAGTTGACGGCCATTATATCTGGAAATCGCGCCTACGAACGCCAGATATGAACGCCTTGACAATTATGTTTTTCTTGGCCCTGACCGCATGGCTTATGGAATGGCAGGATTTGAACGGCGTTATTATGTTGTCGTGAATGCCAAGGTTACTTTGAAGTACTCTCCGATGTGTATATATATATATATATATATATATATATATATATATATATATATATATATATATATATATATATCTATCTATCTATCTATCTATCTACCTATCTATCTATCGATCTATCTATCTATCGATCTATCGATCTAATCTATCTATCTATCTATCCTTTCTGTCTGTCTGTCTGTCTGTCTGTCAGGGGTGTCTGTCTGTCTGTCTGTCTGTCTGTCTGTCTGTCTATGTCTGTCTGTCTGTCTGTTCTGTCTGTCTGTCTGTCTGTCTGTCTGTCTGTCTCCTGTCTGTCCTGTCTGTCTGTCTGTCTGTCCTGTCTGTCTGTCTGTCTGTCTGTCTGTCTGTCCTGTCGGTCTGTTTGTCTGTCTGTCTGTCTGTCTGTCTGTCTGTCTGTCTGTCTGTCTGTCTGTCTGTCTGTCTGTCTGTCTGTCTGTCTGTCTGTCTGTCTGTCTGTCTGTCTGTCCTGTCTGTCTGGTCTGTCTGTCTGTCGTCTGTCTGTCTGTCTGTCTGTCTGTCTGTCTGTCTGTCTGTCTGTCTGTCTGTCTGTCTGTCGTCCTGTCTGTCTGTCTGTCGGTCGTCGTCTTCTGTCTGTCTGTCCTGTCCTGTCTGTCCTGTCTTCTGTCTGTCTGTCCTGTCTGTCTGTCTGTCTGTCTGTCTGTCTGTCTGTCTGTCTGTCTTCTGTCTGTCTGTCTGTCTGTCTGTCTGTCTGTCCTGTCTGTCTGTCTGCGTCTGTCTTCTGTCTGTCTGTCTGTCTGTCTGTCGTCTGTCTGGTCTGTCTGTCTGTCTGTCTGTCTGTCTGTCGTCTGTTCTGTCTGTCGTCTGTCTGTCTCTGTTGTCGTCTGTCTGGCGTCTGTCTGTCTGTCTGTCTGTCTGTCTGTCTGTCTGTCTGTCTGTCTGTCTGTCTGTCTGTCTGTCTGTCTGTCTGTCTGTCTGTCTGTCTGTCTGTCTGGTTGTCTGTCTGTCGTCTGTCTGTCTGTCTGTCTGTCTGTCTGTCTGTCTGTCTGTCTGGTCTGTCTGTCTGTCTGTCTGTCCTGTCTGTCTGTCTGCTGGTCTGTCTGTCGTCTGTCTGTCTGTCTGTGTCTGTTGCTGTCTGTCTGTCGGTCGTCGGTCTGTCGGTCTGTTGTATGTTGTCTGTCTGTCTGTCTGTCGTCGGTTGTCTGTCTGTCTGTTGTATGTCTGTCTGTTGTCTGTCTGTCTGTCTGTCTGTCTGTCTGTCTGTATGTCTGTCTGTCGTCGTCTGTCGTGTCGTCTGTCGTCTGTCGTCGTCTCTGTCTGTCTGTCTGTCTGTCTGTTGTCTGTTGTCTGTCTGTCTGTCTGTCGCTGTTCTTGTCTGTCTGTCTTCTGTCTGTCTGTCTGTCTGTCTGTCTGTCTGTCTGTCTGTCTGTCTGTCTCTCTCTCTCTCTCTCTCTCTCTCTCTCTCTCCTCTCTCTCTCTCTCTCTCTCTCTTCTCTCCTCTCTTCTCTCCTCTCTCCCGCTCGCTCTCTCTCTCTCTCTTCTCCTCTCGCTCTCTTTATAACCTTTCCCATTCCCGCTGTCGTGTGCCTTAGAATTTGGAGGGACTCAGGTTTTTAAAAGGGCGGGATTGCGGACTGCACTCATAGGTCTTCAAGATGGCCGTTCCAGTTTAAAACCCCATACAAATGTGAAACACTCCCTTTTAGTGATGTGAGCCACATCTATCAACCCGAGCCCCCCCCCCCCCCCCCCTCCCATTATAGCATTCTGGGTAACGAAGCTGTGACTTCATCATGGAACTGAGTCATACGGCACCAACGCTACTGCGGCGTGAAAACGTTCTTTGCGGACGGTTTTAAACATGAACATTTCCATAAACCGATATTTTCGGCTCAGCACAATCCATGAAGCATTATAAACTGGCAAATGGCGTTGGCTTGCACCAGAGCTACAAAATGTTTGCTGGAACGCGCTCTCAGCCTACCCCCGGCAGAGAGGTAGGGTAACCCATTCATCAGTGATTTATCCCGAATAACCTTAGCGGAAGTGCTTAGAAACAGTCCGTGTAAAAGAGTACAACAACAACATACAACAACACCGGGTGGAGATGAGATACGGCGGCCCAGACGGGCTCGCAGCACCCTGGGACGCGCATTGAGACGCCGAATGCACGTCCTGGAGCCTTAGGAGGAGCCTTGTCGGGCGGATGCAGAGTTGGCCTGCCGTTATGGGAGTAGCGAGTGGTGAACCCCGGAGGCTTAAATACAACGCGCACCATTTGAGTTCAAGATAGATTTTAATGTCAAATGGGCCGATCTCTTGCAAGTTTTGCGATTTTTGCCAGTCAAAGAAACGTGGCCCACATCCCAGCTCCGAAATAGTCTAATAAGGGGTACAGTAGGGCGGTGGGGGTATTATTCTATGCGCACCATTTTTAGCTAACCCATCCGACACTATAGACCTGCGAGTTAACCAACACTTGATCACAGCACAGCAACAACAATTTCACTCTATATAGGTACTGCGGTACGAAGATATATAGGCGATCATTGTCCATTAATTGGTTTAATGTAAACATTACATATTATATACATTTAGTTACATACCAACATTCCTTTTACAAAAAAACGCATTGCATACGAATATTCGAGGCGTTGGCCACGACGAATATGGCGCGGATGGTGGAACAAGAAAACGTAGTTTAGTGGGATCCTATTGTCGGATTTAGATCCGAGTATTGATTTGGCTTTATAAGGTTTCGAATGCAAAATACAGTATTTATTCCCATAACGCTAAAATAAAGATGTAGCACAGGATTGTCATCCAGTTCGCTGGCGAGATCTCCGCTTTTAATCACGTGACTAATATCTACCACATCCAGTCCAATGGCGAAATCTCCGTTTTTAATCATGTGACTAATATCTACCAACCATTTCGTAGTATCAACCAAAAACCACTTTGCGGGCTATCCAAACCGTAGTCCCATGGTGACGTCACGCCTGCGCAGCCTTTTACTCTGGTATATTTCCATTAACCTAACTTGAAAACGCAACGCGTCCCTTGCATGGTAATGTCCTGCGTCCCACGACTCTTCCGGGTCCTAATCGTCTCGTCACAGCCTGCCGTTTCACCCAGGTGCCGTCGCCGTCCGCCATGCTGCTGGCGCCGCTGGTGCGGCCCGCTGGTTGGGCCTGGCTGCCGCGGCGCGGCGCCACTGAGCACGTCGGCGGTGCGCGGCGAGATCCGCAAGCTGGCGCGCCTGCGGGTGGTGGACAACAGCCCGATCGGGAGGGAGGCGATGGCCGAGGGTCGGCCGCCGCGCGTCATCCACGTCTACAACAAGCGCGAGGTCGCCACCGTCGGTGAGTGGCGCGCCCAGCGGGCAGGACGGCGGCGCACGCCCGCGTCGATCCGTGACCATGTGTGACCATGGATCAGACCACCAGGGTCAACGTCGGCTGTGCCGTGCCTGGTGCAGGAGCCGCCAGCGCAAGGATGCTCGTGCCGAGTGTGGAATCGAGCGCTCCGAGCCATGCAGCTCCCGTTCCGCGGTCTCTGTGCGACCCGCTGCGGGCTGCCGTCGTCGTCGCGCTGTTCGGGTGATCCGTGGATGTGTCCACGGTGGGCCGCGTGTGCTTAACGATCATCGTGTGGCTCAGAGGCTGCGTCGGCTTCTGTCCACCGGCTACGTTAGCCCCTGGGTTGTACAGAGCCGTACAGATGCACGGCGCCGACTTGCGTTTGCTGCCCCCAGGCGATAAGGTGCTGCTGGCTATCAAGGGCGAGAAGCGGAAGGGGCTGCTGGTCGGCTGTGTGAAGACGCAGCACCCGCACTCCATGATCCCTCGCTTCGACACCAACAACGTGGTGCTGATCGATGACAACGGCACGCCGCTCGGTACACGCATCCACGTGCCGATCCCGAACGTGATCCGGCAGCGGCTGCAGAACATGAGCCACAAGAAGTCGGGTGACTTCACCAAGATCCTGTCGCTGGCCACGCGGTTTGTGTAGCGCGCTGAGGGCGCCGCGGTGCTGGTGTGCAGAGGGTGACGGCCGGGGACTCCTGTCCGGCAGAGGTGTGAGTTGTGTGAGTGAGGTGTGTTAGTGGAAGGTCTGGTGAGAGGCAATACATGTGATGTGGTGCGGCGAGCTGTTTCTGGTGCCGCATTCTGCTGGACGGGTTGGGCTGCGCTTTGGCAAGGAAATGAGGCTGAGATGCAACAAATTAGAAGAAATGGTGTGCGGCCCAATGTGTTTAGTTGAAGGTTCAGACGGACAACTCGTTCTTGTTTATGTTGTATGCACTCCGGTGCAAAACCCTAGACGACTTGATACTGACATAGGCACACATTCTATTTGGAGTGGGACGAACGCAATCACTGCGACAATAAGTAAGCAGAGATCATGATATTGTCAATAGCGACACTCACCCGCACAAGGCGACGCAAGGGTTTCGGGCTGGCCATCAAGTGCTTGCTGAAGAGGCATTCGGTGGCTTGGGTTATCACGGTTTTGACTTTATCAGTGTGTCGGCCGGTCTGTCGTCAGATCGGGAGTGCGAACTAGATAACCTAATACATAGATGCACGCGATCGAGCGATCTGGCATATATGAACACGACAGCAGAAGCTGTGCAGCGTCTTGTAGCGCCTCCCTCCCGCCGCCGGCTGCGCACTGAGGCGGCCGCTGCTCAGCCTCTCGGCTCGAGGGACAGGGGACGGCTCAGGGGCCGGTTCACCGGCCACCGACTGGAGAAGTTGCCAGCGGCGCACAGCACGCTGGCAAGAGCGGCAGAGGCCTGATTGTTAGGTTTGTTTTGTTTTGTTTTTTCAGATGTGTACACATCGGCTCGGTGGAGTCAGCTGCGCGGCCACGGCAGGCCACCTGCGCGCCCGTCAGGTCCGTCCCGCTCGGCAGGCCGGCCTCATCAGACACGGCTCTAGGACGAGTGCGTGCCCACAGCGACTCCCGTTCTCACCAGCAAGGATGACGGCATCAGGAGCGCGTTGTCGGCGGGGCAGGGCACGGTTCGGACGGGACCACACGTCCCCAGCGATCCTCGGTCATCACTCAGACAGCGCGCGGCTGCAGTGGGACGACGCCTCCCTAGGGGTGGGGGGGGGGGGGGCACCCCAACGTCGGTCGGGTCCTCGCCGCGCGCGCCCGAGTCAGCTCCGGCGGCGCTCTGGGGCGGCCAGACGGCGGCATGTGGACCCGGTGCTAACGCCCGGCCGCACTGCGGGAGACCAGGGGACGGGCGCTGCGCGGGTAGAGGCCTCACTGGCCGCACTGTGGGACCAGAAGACGGGCGCTGCGCGGGGAGAGGCCTCACCGGCCGCACTGTGGGGCCAGAGGACGGGCGCTGCGCAAGGAGAGGCCTCACTGGCCGCACTACGGGGGACCAGAGGACGGGCGCTGCGCAGGGAGAGGCCTCACCGGCCGCACTGTGGGGCCAGAGGACGGGCGTCGCGCCGGGAGAGGCCTCACCGGCCGCACTGCGGGAGATCAGAGGACGGGTGCTGCGCAGGGAGAGGCCTCACCGGCCGCACTGTGGGGCCAGAGGACGGGCGTCGCGCCGGGAGAGGGCTCAGTCTGCTGACGGCAGGGCGGCTGCCGGCTTGACCGCTGTCCAAGTCCGTGGCGCCGCAGGGGTCGCGCTCAAGCTGCACCCGTCGGAGCCTCATGACGTGCCTATGGCTTCTCTGCCGTGATGGGCGGCTCCGGGTACCGGCGCAGGTCGATACTGCTCTGGCTTAAACCCTGGAATAAAATAGTGATATCGATGCATATCGGTGATGGGGATCCAAGATGTCGATGCATATCGGTGATGGTGACCCAAGATGTCGATGCATATCGGTGATGGTGACCCAAGATGTCGATGCGTATTGATGATGGAGACCCAAGGTGTCGATCCTGGTTGTGTTGTCGCCAATTGAACTTCTGACCTAGTGTAGTTTTGAGTGCTTCAAGCTATGTTTTTAGCTGCTGCATTAAGTCGACTGTTGTTCAAAATTACGTAAGTTGTTCAGTGCATTAGCGAGGAGCATTATTCACATATATTATTTACATTATTTGCATAGACAGTAGCATTAGCCTTCTTCCTCGGAGAAAACCAGGAGAATGGAAATATAACTGGGTTGATATTTAGGCAACATGCCTTTATCGAAACAATAGCAAAAGTTTCTGCCATTTCATTCACTTCTGCTATTTTTTTGGTGAAGGCATGTTGCCGAAATATCAACCCAACTATGTCTCCATTCTCCTGGCTTTCTCCGAAGAATAAGGCTAATGGTACCGTCTTATCGACTGTTGTTCATGTAAATCCGAACTCCCGTTGTGCCTATGGCTGCTGGCTCATTGGCCGAGGAGGCCTGAACTCTGACCCCTCCCCGGCATCACTCTGGGGCACTCCTCTGGTCCGGGTTCCACGACGGCGTGCCCGAGCCGCTCACCCGGGGCGCTACTGCGTGCTCTTCTGAAGGCGAGTTCCGCGGCGGCGGCGGCAGGGACCGTCCTCGTCTGCAGATCCCTGTCGGCCGGGCGGCGCGTGACCAGAGGTCACCGGCCAGCCTTATCGCTGGTTCACAGTTGGCGGGAGCCAGGACAGCGAGCGGTGGTGTAACGCTGTGGCACACAGGGACTGCGCGGCACCAATAGTGACGGCTGGTGGCTCCCTCTGATCAGCAAACATTCAGCTCGTACTCAAAGCACTTCGGATATTACACCAGTCCATGCCGATGTTTGACTGGCCTCCGGGTTTCATTGGTCATAGGCGTGGCCATTCGGTTCCAACATGCCTTTTACCTGTTTGTACAGACTGGTCAGCACTGTTTCTTTCCGGTAAGCTCTGACGTGAGTTAGTGCTGCTGACTCCCGCGCAGTGGCATCTAACGTGTACCGAGACAACCAGGAGTACGACGATGGCCAGCAGAAGGGCGACTGACACGCCCAAGACGCCGAAGTTCACAGTGGGCTGGCTGGTCGCTGAAATGACAGTGGCATACGATTCGCGCTACTGTGCTGCATGTCATTTGGTGCGCATAAACGGAGAACATGCCATTTGTAGGCGTCAGTAGTGCCTTTTGAAGACAAAATTGATTAAAGACTGACTACGCAAGACAAGAATGACAGTTACAAGTCACGGCTGTGGTTAAGCCTACGGATTTTTACGCCGCATGCCTGTGCCCTGAGCGCGTTGCAGGAAATGGCTCGATGCCATGAACTGCCGTGGACTCCATATTTGAAGATGCAAGAGCTCGCGAACCATAAAGCAAATCAAGCAAACCAAGCTCGTCCTGATGCCCCTTTTTCATCGTGCGACTTGTGCCCCGACCAAGGGCGACAGACCCCGTTACCTAAGACCATTTCAAAGCCACAGACAGTGCTGCGTTCTTTGCTGGCCCTCCCATGATTTGACAAGAGGCCGATCAGTTCGCGCCGGCGGCAGCGGGCGGCGCGAGGCGGCGCGTGTCGGGCTCGTTCACGGTTGCAGCCGTCAGGTGGCGGTACATACCAGCGCTACCGCTGCTTCCGGAGCCAGCGTCAGCACCCGGCTGCAGGTGGAGGCGGAGCACGGCCGGACGGCTGGCGCCGGCCGTGCTGTGGGCGCGCACCTCCGCCCTGTGCTCCCCGCCGGACAGGTTCTGCATGGGCACACTGCAACACAACGCCGTCGGATGGCCGCCACTGTGCACCAACGGTGGACAGCCCACATCACTTTACGACAGCGTCAAGCACTTCCTTGGCTCATCAGCGTGATCTACCTGAACTTATACCTGAACCAAAGAGTTTAAGATAGCATAATATCCTTCAATGCCAGGCAGTCACTCGACAGGAGCGGTAGGCGCAGCGTGTGGAGGGGGCGCGGTGTCGTCCGTGCTGTAGCCGACCCGGTCGGCCCCGTGTCGGCTCGTGAGCCACCTGAGGGGAGCGGACCGCACTGTAGCGCATCCCAATACCCTGACGTACGGGAAGTGGGGCTGTTGCCGCGTCCATTCGGCCACCCGCCGGTCGTCAGGGCCGTACAGCCAGAGACTGTACGTCGGTCGCAGGCCGCCGGTGGCGCCCGGCGAGCAGGTGATGACAGCCTCTGACACGGTGGCGGTGCAGTTGTTGGGTGTTTCCGGCGCGACTTGAACGACAGACAGACTTTAAAAAGGGCTGGTGTATGAGGTTCCCGTGATAATGTCACCGCCATGTCAGGGAGAGAGAGAGAGAGAGAGATAGAGAGAGAGAGAGAGGAGAGGAGAGAGAGAGAGAGAGAGAGAGAGAGAGAGAGAGAGAGAGAGAGAGAGAGAGAGAGAGAGAGAGAGAGAA